GCCTGCTTCAGATTCTGTGTCTCCCTCTTTCTGCCCCTCCCATGCTCGCGCTCTGTATCTCCCTGTCTCTCCTCTCAAAAATCAACATTTTAAACATAAAAGAAAATGCTTTAAAAAAAACGCAGGAGTCGGGGCGCCTGGGTGGCTTAGTCGGTTAAGCGTCCAACTTTCGCTTAGGTCATGATCTCGCGGTTCGTGGGTTCGAGCCCCGCGTCGGGCTCTGTGCTGACTGCCAGCTCAGAGCCTGGAGCCTGTTTCAGTCTGTGACTCCCTCTCTCTCTGACCCTCCCCTCCTCACGCTGTCTCTCTCTCTCTCCTAGAAATAAATAAAACGTTAAAAAAAAAAAAAAAAAACCGCAGGAGAACGTTAAAAGGACACAAGAGCCAAAACTGCCACAATTTGAATAAAATATGTGAAAAGGCAAAAATAACTTATAGATAACATTGGATACAACCCAAAGAATAAAATATCCATGGATCCACAGAAGCATAAGTAAATGACTAAATAAAAAAATTAATGAGTAAGAAAATAAAGTCAATAAAAAAATAGAGAGGGGGGAGAAGAAACAAAGCTGCCTTACAAAAGAATTTCAAACAGAGAGAACAAAGGAAATAAAGAATCACCATTACACTCCAGTAACAGCCACAAGTGAGATCCGCTGATAAATGTTACAAGAGGGCACCTTTAAAGACACAGTATTAGCATAACTTTGAAGTGTCTCTCACCTGAAGAAAAGTTAGTAATTACAATAACATCTTTAATATACAGTTAATTTATGTCCACAAATTCAGAATCTCTGCTTTCTTGGGGACTGGTTTTTAACAAAGAAAACAAGGGGGGAAATCCTAACCTGGTAGACACCACTTAATCAGCTCACCAAGGTTAAATTCAACCATTGTGTTATGTATCCCTTGATGTGTTAAGAAGGCTATCACCTCTGTGATATTCGTCCCCCAAATCCCTAGCTTCAGTTTACCTATAACACCACATGTACCCAAAATTAGATCAAGTGTCAAGGTCATAAAAGACAAAGGACAGAGACGCTGTCACTGATCAGAGAGAGACTAAAGAGACATGAAGACTAAAGGCAATGTGGTATCTTGCACTGGATCCTGGAACAGATAAAGGGCATTAGTGGAAAAACTAAGGAAATCTAAATAAAGGCAATCATTTAGTTAATAGTATTTTACTCAACATCATTTTCTTAGCTATCTCAAACTCAAGTTTACTCAAAATAAAAAAAACTTCAACAAGAATTGGAAAAACCTAACAATTTACTAACTTTCCTTGTTTTTTTTAGCATCTGTTCCCCACTCCAAAGTTAAAAGTAGTCAGCTGAATTTATAATTAGGCAACAGTCTATGTTCTTTCTCGCGAAGGTGAAAAAACACTTATAATACTACTGCATCTACGAAATTCCTAAAATCATTAATTTCCCATCCTTTAGATTTCACAAAGCAGAGAGCAAGCTCAAAGAGCCCATGAACATACAGTATTCTTGGGTCATAGCCTAAAAAGTCTTGGAAAGGTAGTTTTCATACTCACACCTTCCAGGTTCTGAATCCTACAAACTTTTTTGATTAAGGAAATGGCTACAGTCTACATCACTGCTAGAAATATAAGCTTTACAAAACAGTTTTTTGAGTTTCAGAGCTTCATTTCTCTTTATAAGTAAGAACATAAGAATATGAAGACATGTAAAAGCACTTTTAGAATATACAAAGGACTATATACCAATACACAGTGATGCTGTTAGGCAGTCACTTAATATCCCCAGAGTAGAAGGGTGTCCAATCTAGGAAGCCACCTTCTCTTAGTTATCTCCAACATTTGCGTTTTTTTTTTTCCCCAATACCTGAACTACAACAAGCTAAACAGCTAAATAGTACAACACAACAGACTGCCAGGGGATGAAAAGAGAAATCACTTCAACTCATCTAAACATACTAAGTCCACAATCTGTGAGAGAAATTTTTTTAAATTACTTTGTTTTAATGGTGCCTGGGTGGCTCAGTCAGTTAAGCGTCCAACTTCGGCTCAGGTCATGATATTGCCACTTGTGAGTTTGAGCCCCGCATCGGGCTCTGTGCTGACAGCTCACAGCTTGGATCCTGCTTCGGATTCTATGTCTCCCTCTCTATCTGCCCCTTCCCCTGTGCGTGCTCGCTCTCTCTCTCTCAAAATAAACTAATTTAAAAAATTAATTAAAAAAAAAATTGCTTCGTTTTATAAAGCCCACTCTTCAAGTGCAGATTATTATTCCTAGCTCTTCACCATTATCACCCAACTTGCAATGCAGCTTTCCCAACCTAGGCCAAACAGGGTGTCCTAGAAAACTTAAAAAAAAAAGTAAACAGCTGATTTTTGAGATTTAAAAAACATAATAATCCTAGTTAACCACCAGTGTGATCACCAACTACAAGTGAGATTACAGTTGCTGAATCTAAATTTAACTCCATGGCTGGAAGGGCAGTGTTGCAACTAAAGGTTTTTCCCACTAGCTGTAACTGACTAGCCAGGGGAGAGGGAGGAGGGGGAAGCAGTTTCAAACCTACTTACTTTGACAATTCCTTCTCTTTGCAAATGAACATACGATGCATATAAAATGAACTATGAAATATCATTTTCAAAAACCAATGTAATTACAAAATGCTGAGAGATCAAGGAGGTAATTAAACTGAAAAAAAGAAAAAATTGGTTTTGGTCACCAATTCAGGCTTTATATTAAATTTCCTCTATTACCATGGCCCCATCTATCCTAAGAACTACATACAATTCATAAACCTATGAAAATTTAAGTTTAAGGTATAAACCTATAAAAATTTAAAACTAATCTCTACCTTTTACTTTCTATGCAAAAACTAAAACAAGAACAAAATAATAATGTAAATTACCAGAAAAAAAAAAAAGCAACCCCAAGTAGGTCGGCAACAAACTAACAAACTACCAAATCTTCCGATGAGCCCTTAGCAGACTGTCAGCTGAGAACAGCAAACTGAATGGGAGTTAAATAAAGAACAAAGAAGTGCCTACTTTCCTATCAGTTAGAAGCACAAGAGCTTAGACAGAAAGGATTTAATAACAAAAGTAACCGGACTTGGATGAAAAGAAAGGAGGCTCACCAGTCTTGTATTATCACAATCTGCTTCATTTATTCTTAATAAATGCATGCACAAGAGATCAACCAGGCTACCAATTTGTAAAGTACCATGGTTTTCATATTCCTGACCAACCGATAACCATTCGCCTGAGGCAAACTGGTTAAGAAATACTTGAATGGGAAACCAAAGTTTTCTTGCAATTAATGCGTAAGGAAATTTCATTCTGATATATTGTACTCTGAGCAGTAATACCATCAGCTGGATTAAAAATGTACGTCATGTTTTAACATTTGAAACTTAATGCTCTCAATAGGTAATCACAACTGAATAAAAGAACTAAAATGGCTACAGAATAAGGCCAGTTCTAACTAAAACAATGTTATATTCTAAAGCAATCTGTTACTTATGGCAACATCAACAAAGATCTTGGCCATACAGTGTCTTGATTGTTTACCTATTGCTACTTTCTGTTAAGATACATGGAAACTACTAAACACTTACAAATATTGATTCTTTGTAGTTTAATTCATTAACTGGATGTAAATTATGTATTCCCTCTGACTGCAAAAAATTCTTAAAAGACCAATCCTAAAAGCTCTAAAGAAAGGCTGAAAGCCATTCCAAGCAAAATTATTCCAGAAGAGCTAGTCCCAAAACTTGAACTGTAGTTTTTTTTTTTTTATCTCAAGTAGAGACATTTGTGATATCAAGTAATGATCTGGACCTACAACTATTTTTAAGTTTATTCAGAGAAAGTGAGTGAGCTCCAGCAGGGGAGGAGGAAGGGGGACGGGGGACGGGGGACGGGGGACGGGGGGGGGGGGGGGGGAGGAAGAGAGACTCCCAAGCAGGCTCAGCACTGTCAGCGCAGAGGTGGAGGGGGAACTCGAACTCCCCAACAGAGAGATCAGGACCTGAGCCCAAGTCCAGTCGGGCACTTAAGCAACAGCCATGCAGGCGCGCCTGGCCCTACAACTATTAAGTCAAGGAGCATACTGGCTTTCAAATATCGCAAACCTACACTCGTCTTTAAAGGTGTCTTCTGTATTGGCAGCACATAGACAGGAACCTAACAGGAAACGCTCAACACACGAACTGAATACTGAATGCAGAGAGGCTCTCATCCGCCGAAGAAGATCCCGACTTGCAAGATTTCCAGCATCTCTCAATCACCCGTGATTCACCCAGCAAAAGCTCCAGTGGTTAAATGTATATTGCAACCGGGCACCATCCTTTCCGTCCCGACTTCACATTTCAACCTACACAGGCGGCCGAGATGGGAAACTCCTCGCTCTGCCTCGCATGTTCTCCGGCTACAAAACGAGGAAGTTAAACCCATCTTCCTGAAGGTCCTTCTCCAAAGTCGGCCCCGGTGAAGAAAAAGGTTTCCAGGTCTAATGTCGGGGGCCTCACTGGCTTGCTGACGGGACTTTCCCATCCCCAGTCTCAAAACCTGGGGAGGAACACCGTCCACGTTCGCTGGCACGTATTCATCTGATTCTACACTTTTGCCGGAAGCGTGGAGGGCGGCACGTTCCTCCGGGCCAAGACACGTAGAAAGGAAGCCCAAAGCCTCCCGCGCCCTTTGTCATCATCGCACTTCCAACCCGCGTCTCCCCGAAGCCCACAAGTGCTCCAGGACAAACGCCGCTGCAGCGCTCGCGGCAGCGGGCCTCTCCAGGCCGATGCCGGCCCCAGGGACTAGGGCTCCGGGGACGGCGGCGCCCTGGGGCCGCGCAGCGCGCTGGCACAGGGACGAACGGAGGCTGCGGGGCCAGGACTCGGACGGCCTGTGGGTTCAAAGCGACACCTGCCCCTTCCCGTCTCCGTGCCTGTGAGCTTGCCCCTCCACCGCCGGCCTCCGAACCCACTGCCAAAGGGCAAGTCACCGTACCTACCTCATCGGATCCTCGCGGGAGTGCATGAGAGCCACACAAGTTGCTCAGCACACTGCCTGGCACGCCAGTGAGGGCTTAGAAAAAACAGGGGTTATTATCTCCGCTCATTATCCATGCATTCACGGCTCCCCCTTTACTCCCTGCAAAACCGAGGAGCAGCACTTCGGCTTCCCGAGTCGCAAGACCCTCATCACGCTTTCGAGTCGCCCCCGCCCCTAAATAAAAGCCTCCTCAGGTCCCGGCCAAACTGGAGCTCCTCGCCAGGGGAGGTGAGGGTCTGCGGGCTGCGAGGGAGGGAGGAGGCCGGCGGGGCCGCCGCGCGAGGCCCCAGGCCCCGGAGATCACTCTGGAGCCCGGGCGGCGGCCGCGGCTCGCTCTCGCCCCGCGCGGCCGTTGGGCGTGGCACGCGCACGCGGCGGCCGCGGACACGGCCACGCGCGCCGGCCGGTGGGAGCGCGGCGAGGAGGGGGCGGGGAAACTCCGCGCGCCCGTGCACCCGCCTGTGGCCGTTGGGGGGGGGTGGGGGGGAGGTGTGCACGCCTCGCGCGGCCGCCGCCGCCGCTCGGACTTCTCCTCCTTCTCACAACCGTCCCAGCTCGTCTTCGTCCCTGGGCCGCCCCGCCCCGCCCACACCCCGGCGTACCTGCGCGGCTGAGAGGGAGAGGAACAAGCTTTGCTCCACAGCAGGGAAAAGGCGAAATCCCCTCACGCAACTGCGTCCGCACACACGCGTGCTCCGTCGCCGGTCTATATAACCGCGACTCAGCCTAACTTGTTGCGGCCAGGTCGAGCAGGCTTGTGACCAATCCCGACTGCGTCCTCCGGGCTCTTCGAGCAGCAATTGGGTACTGCCTCAGGATGAAGGCGTGGCTCTTGATTGGCTTAGCCTCATGCCTATGAGACTGTGAGGATCTCGTTTCCCTAGTAACGGATTGGCATTGAGGGAGACCAATTACGTAGAGATACGTCAAAAAGAGGGTGGGGAGTTCCTTGACCGATGCCCATAGTAGCCAATAAATGCGTGGGGCCGCTCCCATTCGATAAAGTGTGTTTCCCTGGGCGGAGATCCGTTTTCCATGCAGGAGCGGTTGCTCCACAAGGTGGGGCCCGTGTACTTTGGGGAAGTAAACCCCAAGCAAGTGGGAGGTGGGCGCCAGGGAGGCCAAGGGAGGCCCTGGCCAATCGCAAAGCGGGAAGGATCTGATTGACGCGGGGGCTGGACTGCGCCAAGGAGACCGAGCCCCAGGGCCTCTGTGCCCTTTGGGGAGGCTCTGAGGCTCTTTTTGGCCCCGGCTTCCGACCTCTTTCCTTTCTCTCCCTCATTTGCTGGGTCTGGCCCTCAGGCCCTTCTGCCTTTTCTGCAGTTTGGCACCAGGCAAGCCAAGTGGTAAAGTTCCCGTTGTTTGGGTTTTTTCTTCTTATAGCAACTTTTTTTACTTCCACGCGGCCGCCTAAGGGCACTTGCTGGCTCTCACCATTAGTCACTATTGTTGGGACAACAGTGAAGGGAACACCAACGGAGAAGGTAGCGGCCGCCGCGTACCTCAATCGTGTAAAAAGGTCGCCCGTGAAACGTGTCGAGGTTGAGAACACAGATGTCCACCCTGCTGTTAGTGCCAAGTGCGGCAGGCCGGCCCCATGGGAGGGGGGGGGGGGGCGCTCGTGGAAGTTCGCTGAGGTCTTCCCTCGCTCTCGCGGCCAAGGAACCGTAGTCTGCAGAGTCTCCGCTCCGCTTGGTCCTGAGCGCAACATCCTGTGCGTCACCACCATTGCCGTTCAGTGTTCCAATTGCCCGGGGAGTGGGGGCTTCTTTCGTGCCATTATTGCTTTAACAGGAAATTGTCAAACTCCTACACGGACACCCCAAAGATTTCCCGAAGCCCTTCAGGGGCCAAGCGGTGCTCCAGCCCGGTCCTGTCCACGTCCCTCGGTGTCTTATTGGGCCCTCTGTTGGTCACCATGAGCATTCTGTAAGGAAATACACAGACGCCTCGGTCAGTTCTCATTCCAGGCATGCGGTCTCCCGTTAAGTTTTGCAAAGACTTTGGTAAAGAAGCACCTGGAACGTCTCTGTTGGGGGGACCGGCAGCAGCCTGCTGGGACCCGGGCGCGTCCCCTGTCGCTCCCTGCGCGGGGTCGGCCCCCAGACTGGAGACTCGCGGCCGCCCCAGGAGCAAAGTGAGAGCGTCCCTCTACACTCCCCCCACCCCCACCCCCGCCAGGTCCCACCGCCGCGTCGGCCTAGCGCACTCAGCATTTATGAGGTTCCTGTTAAGGGCTGGGATCAGAGATGATCTGGATGCCGTCTCTGTTCTCCGTCACCCATCCAACAGACTGGGGCACTTTGCTGGAGCCGGAGCCCCCAACCAGGCGTCTGGGACTAAGAAAGCTTCGGACGAAACTCGACCCAGAGAGAGAAGCTGCTGAAGTATTCTATAGTAAGGACACCCACCCACCTATACCAACACCCCACCCATCTACCCCACCCCTGCATCCCCCTGCCTGGATCCCGTCAGCTACGTTAAGGAATTCTGAGTTTTATTCTGTTGACGAGGAAGAGCCCCTGGAAGAGTTCTTAAAGTGTGGACTAAGAGATATTTGCCTTTTACATGAAGACTCTCCGAATTGAAATGCTAATGAGAGCATATTTGCAAACCTTTAGATTTACAGATTGGTAATTTAACCCAGATGGCCTGTGATAACAGTCCAAGGCTATTCTTAATCACGTTTGGAGGGAATTTTAAGTGAAACGGCTCTTTGTGTAAAGCTATTTGGCAGTCATATTAAAATTGTGTTTATCACCCAAAACAATAATAGCACTTCTTGGTTAACAGCCACGTTTTTTGGTGTTGTGTGTGTGTATTTTTAACAAAGAGGCCTATACCAGGGTGTTTAACTGAAGCATTGTCAGCTTTGCTAAAAAATTTAAAAACTGAAAATGTAATTGCTCATCAATTGGCAAAGTGATTAACTAGTGATAATGCACATAATATAGAATACCATGCAGAAGTTTAAAAAATAGTGAGCTAGAATTACACAGGTAGGGATAGGTCTCCATTTGTTATTTGGATTGTTAATTGGAAAAAAAGAAAATCAAGTTCAACAAGTTCAACAAACAGAGCGAAAAACCAAATTCTTGATTTCTGTATGTTAAAATTAGTATGTAAGTGCATACTTACATTTTAGAAGGGTTCTAAAATTCAAACAATAGATATTCCCTCTAGAGAATCCCTGCGCTTGGTAGTGATGAGGATAATATATGATGTGAAAGTTTTATGAGACTGTGTTTATGTACTGTGTTGTGTAACAGGAGGTAGGAAGAAAGGAAGGAAGAAGAAATGGATTACCAGACGGAGAATGTAGACAAGAACCGTCAGGTGTCCATTATTGTCTTCCAAAGGAGAGAGCAAGTTGGCACTTTCCCGTGGTAGCTTCCCCACTCAGAACATAAAACCCTCAGGCCCCATGTGCTGGCTACTTAGTAAATGTTCAGTGGGCAATTTACCACCAGTGAACTGTCAAGGCAGGGGAGTCTGGGAGATTTTCCCCCGGGAGACTTAAAAGGTTTCGTCTCAACTTGAGTAGAGGGACTGCATCTCGTGGGTAAAGTCCAGGGATTCACAGATGCAGAAAAGAGATCCCACCACCACCTCCACCAGCAATCCCCTGCCATGACAAAGAACTTTCTGGCCAAAAAGCCAACAGTGCCAAGGCTGAGAGCCCCTGATCTGGCTATCTGAGTCAGCTAGGGGAGAGTCCCCTGCCTCCTGCTGCTCTTTCTTTCCACTGCCAAGCAAACGCTGGATACCCCTCTGACACACTACCTTGCCCCTTTCCTTCTGCCAATTCTCCCCAAAGCTGTGAGAATCAGGGAAGGAAGAAATAGGGGCAAGACCCCAGAAAACACAGTTCGGTAGTGGAGGAGGAAGTTGGGGAGCAGGGAATATTAGATAAGGACCGATCCTAAGACTATCAACTGGACCAGTTTTTCCCAAATCTAATATCTAATATCCCATATCTAATCACTTGTGAAAGGTGATTAAAAACATGTGCCTGTTTGTATCCTTAACTGTTAAGCTCTCACCTGCGAACAAAGAACTAGTGTAATAATATTGATTGCAGCACTGCTTGTACAGGAAACAACCCAAATCTAGAGCTCTATGGAACTGGTTAGATATAGCACTGCAGTACAATGCACTCTTACAGCGGTCTGTTGTGCAACCAGAGAGAAAATGAGGCAGATCTATGTGTACAGTCACAGAGCAAGTTCCAAGAGATACCCGTAGATGGAGAAAGCAAAGTGCAGAATAATGGAAAGAGTAAAGAAGGGGAACCGATGCCATGAGGCAATTGTTTCTATTAAGGTATGCTCTATTGCTCTAGTTATCTCCACACATATCTGGATGGTTTTGTTGTATATGTACAGGTTATGTCTATGTCTATGTCTGGAAGGAGTCATAAAAAGCTGTTAATGATTGTTAACAGGGAGGTGAACTTGGGCCAGGGTAGGAGAACAGCTTAGTTTTCATTCATCCAAAGTACCTTTTGGTACCGACAATTTTTTAAACACGTGCATGTATTATTCTTCAAAAGAAATTCAATGTTAAGTATAGATTTTAATACATACACATTCTCCGTAATGCAAATATGGAAACTTTGATCTTTAAAACAGAGATTACTGGGGCACCTGGGTGGCTCAGGTGGTTAAACGTCCAAGTCTTGATCTCAGTTCAGGTCTTGATCTCAGGGTCATGAGTTCAAATGCCACGTTGGGCCCCATGCTGGGTATGAAGACTACTTAAAAAAGAAAGAAAGAAAACCCAGGGAATAAGAGTACATGTTTCTTGATGAGCGCTGAGTCATATATGAGTTTGTTGAATCACTGTATTGTATACCCAAAACTAATATAACACTGTTTGCTAATTACACTGGAATTAAAATAAAAGAGAGGTGTCCAGTTGGCTCAGCGGGTTAGCATACGACTCTTGATCTTGGAGTTGTGAGTTTGAGCACCACACGGAGTGTGGAGATTACTGAAAAATAAAATCTTTAGGGGCTTCTGGGTGGCTCAGTTGGTTAAGTGTCTGACTTGTACTCAGGTCATGATCTTGCTGTTTTTGAGTTTGAGCCCTGAACTCAGGCTCTGTGCTGACAGCTCAGAGCCTGGATCCTGCTTCGGATCTGTCTCTTTCTCTCTCTGCCCCTCCCCCACTCATGTTCTATCTGTCTCTTTCAAAAATAAACATTAAAAATAACCTAGGATACTAATGATACCTCCTTAAAAAAGAAATAAATAAGTAAAATCTTTACAAAAATAAATAAGAAAAAATAAAACAGGATAGAATACTACATTATCCCTTCAGGTATATGAGGGCTTTTGAAAATAAGGTACTGGGGCACCTGGGTGGCTCAGTTGGTTAAGCATCTGACTCTTGATTTTGGCTACGTCATGATTTCAAGGTTCATGAGTTCAGTTTGGGATTCTCCCTTTCCCTCTTTCTCTGCTCCTTCCCCCACGTGCTTGCACACCTCTCTTTCTCTAAATAAGTAAATAACATTTACAAAAGAATAGGAAAAGGCAGAATGAATGTTTTAATTGGCCTGCCTCCCAGACTAACATCTTTTCCTTTTGCTCCTTACCATATAAAAGTCTAAAGAGACCCTTTACTGGCTTAGAAATGAATGCCTAATTGGATTCCTCCCTTTTTTGGCATTGACTGTCTGCAAACATATCATTCTATGGAATGCTGACCATGAGCCAGGCAACCCTACTA